TCATGGCCCTCACGGCCCTTACGGCCCTCACCGCCCTCACGGCCCTCACCGCCCTCACAGCCCTCACGGCCCTCACCGCCCTCACAGCCCTCACGGCCCTCACTCAGCCTCACACTCATGAATTTTCCTGGTTCAGATACTCACTCACTCTCACTTCACCTGTGAAGATGAGGGTGAGTGAGGGTGAGTGAGGGCCCTCGTGAGTGAGGTTTGCCGAGGTATGCTTAAAACTGCCCGTTTGAGAAATGATTGTATTGCCAATGGAGTAATCAAACACATGGGGGTACTTCTTGTTTGTGATACGCATAAACAGATATTTGTCTTAAGTTTCATTTCCCAGAGATCGCACCAATTAGAAATTGCGTTCAGACTCTCATTCAGCAAGACCTGGTCGCTAATAGAGTTAATAGCCTTGAACAGTAAGCAGTCATCTGTAAATAAACGAATACTCACGCTCTTGTGGATGCATGATGTTAAATCATTGATATAGATTGAGAAAAATAGCGGACCAAGGACACTTCCTTGCGGGACACCAGAATTTACGGAAAGGGGATCTGAATGATGACCGTCTACATCGACAAATTGTTTGCGAATTTCTAGACAAGAGGAATTCCATTTTACATCCATACGGGGAAAGCCAAGTTTGTTAAGTTTGAGTAAAATACCGGAATGGACAGACCCTATCAAATGTTTTGCTCAAGTTGAGAAAGATTACGTCGACTTGGCCGGGTTTGTCGACTATTGAAACGAAAGAATGAATAGTAGAAATTTTGTGGTAGTGAAAAGGCCTTTACGGAAGCCATACTGAAAAGGCGAGGTGATATCATGCTCATCTTAGAATTCAGTCATGTAATTAGAAATTATTTGTTTTAAGAGCTTACATGATGTGCTGGTAAGCGATATGGGACGGTCATTAGTTAACAGTGAACAATGTCCCCTTTTAAAAACAGGTACAACCCGTGCAATACGCCAATTGAAGGGAAGAACACCACATGAAAACGACGAACGAAAAACGACAACAAGGCAAGTTATTCAGCGTAACGACGAAGGAAGGCGTTGGGAATGTTATCAGGGCCACATGATGATTTCGGCTTAAGATTAAACAACATGGAAAAAAGGTCTTCAAATGTTATGAGCTCTGGACTAATCTGGTTGAATTATCGAAGAAAGTTTGTCGCGGGCTGGGATGTGAAAACAGATTAAATTCAGTGGCTACTTTCTGTTTGTCGTGACTCATGGTTCCTCCCATTTTAACGGAATCGACGGTTGCCTGTCCATTTGCAGTGCAAATGCGCCAATGATTTTGTCGCGTGTTAGAACAGTAAAACTTTCTACAACTCCTACCTGCACGAATTTTCGTCGTAAGTGTTTGCTTTAAATTTCGAATAGTGGAACTGTCAGACCAAAGCTTTCCATTACGTTTTATTTTCCGTGTCAGATGAATTATGTCTCGGATGATCCAGGGGTTCTTACGGTGTACGTTTTTCGTTCTTTTGGGTGTATCAAGGAGTGGCCAGCACCAGACCGCGAAGTTCTTCCTAGACACGCTAACAAACATTGATTGATTCATTATTATTGTTATTACTTATCAGTTTCTGTAGCTGGTTTTATGTGCTCGAGCAATAAGCATTATTATTATTATTATTATTATTATTATTATCATTAATATTATTATAGCGCATTCGGCACATAATTCAAAAACAATTTTGATGTTAGTGATTCAAAATACTAGATCAAAACAATGCCAGTGTTTCCTCTCAAATACAGAATCACTTCAGCTACACTTTAAAGAATGCATTTTTTTAATTTTTTTTATCATTTCTGATTACATTACCTTTCTTTGGATTAATATGATTTCCTCCAATTTCGTTCCATTTCCTGCAGAAGCGGTCAAATACACATCACGGATACTGTTTTGGTGAACTCGGGCTACTGTGCGACCTCCATGGGACAAGCTGAAAACTGACAGCTTAGAGGATCGCTTCGGAATGTATAGGCAACTGGCTTGCTTCTAATATCACGCGTCTGCAAAGCACATTTACGAATGCGAAAACAAGACACTGCTGAGGAGCACGCTGTCAACGATCACTGAAGCCAGCAAGGATGGAAACTGGGATGATCTTCACAAGCGAACGGATACTTGACGCCCTACTTGCAACGTGGTATACCTGCAGTGGGGACCTGGGCTGTAAAAACATAAGACACAGCCTTCCGGCCCTGGGTTATGTGGCCAGCCGTTCAGTCTACACCACCTTACAAAACCTGAGGGGTAAAAAATGCAAGGCGGCATCGACAGCACGAAACAAGTTGGTTATAGTTTGCTCGCACAGGATGTCTATGCTCTCGCAATGAACCTCGTTATAGAAGAGCTTGTTTTTGTCTGGTGTAAATTCTGTAGAACACAACTATGTTGTTCACCAATTGGTGATGCCGAGCCAGCGCCGACTTGTTACATATCTAATACTGGAACTACTAACCAAAAAAGAGACTTCCGACTTCGACGCCTGTGAAAATTAAAAGGTAATTGCAAAGAAAACTTTGCAGTTACGCGCTTATTAAAACAATACACCAACATATACCTTTGATTAAAACAGTTCCTCGCTACCTCCGCTCGGGGATTCTTTCAGGCTTCTGGTTGGCCAAGGGAACATGTCAAGTCCACTTTCTGAGTCTGGTGCATGCCCTGGCTCTGCCTGCGCCTCCCATTGACCAAACTCTCTGTATACATGGCTCTGGTTCATACCACTGATCTCTATAAGGATTGATGGATCGCGCTTCCCCGCTTGGTCGCTGCAGCGCGAGTGCGACCACCGGACAGCCATCTTGCATGCTGCGAAACAGCGTTTTCGCTAGCGTTGCAGAGGCTGACGGCAGCGTGCTGAAGACATGTTTTCTATTCGTTCGTCGTCATTCGCCGAAGAAATTTTTGAAAACACTGTAAGCGGTGAGACTTGCCGCTGAGTACACCTGAAAAGTTTTTCGAAAGCAAGCGTCGCCGGGCTCGCGGCGTGATCACAGATTATTTGGCACCAGTGGCATATCAACAAGGGAAAAGGGGGGAGGGGGGGGGGGGAGGGGTCGAGGCTCCTTGGGCACCGGGTACCAGGCGTCCCAGTCACGAGGGGGGGGGGTGTTCCACTTCTGGAGGCCTCCCCCCCTGCTTTAGCTTTACTAGTTGCGATATCGGGGAGTGAATGGAAGGGCCGGGGGGGGGGGGGGATGCCACCTCTGACGCCATCCACCCCCCCCCCCTTTTCTAGTTGCGTTCTAGGGGAGTGAATGGAAAAACGGGAGTGCTACGAAAGACCTAAGGGCACCGGGCGCCGGATGGCATAGCTACACCACTGCTTCGCACGCCGAAGTGCTGCGTCTTTGTGCCTTCGCACGCTTGGATACAAACCATGAATCAACGCCGTGTGGACATGTTTTCCGAGTGCAATGTGTGCGAAGCAGTATGTGCCTCTGGAGTAGCGTTTTACTTTATTCTGACGACTGTATAGGTGACTTGCGGCACTCGTGGTCCAGAAACCAGCTTGATCCAGTGTCCAGTGGCGACGGAAGAGGGTGGGGGGGGGGGGGATGAGAGGGGAAGGGGAAGAGGAAGACGCGTATGGCAATCAATTCAGTAGAACAAATATCTTTATTTTTGTGCACCCCCCTTTCCAATCAAACACATCAACAGATTGCACACCACCATATGGGCCGCGCTTCAAAAATTTTCAATCTAGCCATCATGTGCTTTTGCCTCCCAAAACCTTCCTTGCTCCACAGCGTTGCTCTATTTGTGCTGCAATGGGATCTATTTGAGTATCGCTGTTTTCCTGGGACCCTTTGCCTTGAGCTCTCAGCTTACCCTGCCCGCTGTAGTCTTTGCAAGCTCGTTGTGGACGCTTTTCAGCGTGCGACTGGCGTCGACCGCTTAGAGCTTCCAGCTGTCTCTGTCCACTGTCGTCTTTTCAAGGTCGTTGCGTACGCTTTTCAGCGTGCAGCTGGCATCCTCCACCTTGAGCTTCCAGCTATCTCTGTCCGCCGTCGCCTTTCCAAGGTGGTTGCGTACGCTTTCCAGCGTGCGGCTGGCATCCACCGCCTTGAGCTTCCAGCTCCCCCTGTCTGCCGTCGTCTTTCCAAGGTGGATGCACACGATTTTCAGCGCGTCGCTGGCATCCTCCGCCTTGAGCTTCCAGCTGTTTCTGTCCGCCGTCATCTTTTCAAGGTCGTTGCGAACGCTTTCCAGCGTTCGGCTGGCATCCACCGCCTTGAGCTTCCAGCTCCCCGTCTGCCGTCGTCTTTCCAAGGTCGATGAACACGATTTTCAGCGCGTCGCTGGCATCCTCCGCCTTGAGCTTTCAGCTATCTCTGTCCGCCGTCGTCTTTTCAAGGTCGTTGCGTTCGCTTTCCAGCGTGCGGCTGGCATCCTCCGCCTTGAGCTTCCAGTTCCCCCTGTCTGCTGTCGTCTTTCCAAGGTCGATGCACACGATTTTCAGCGCATCGCTGGCATCCTCTGCCTTGAGCTTCAAGCTGTCTCTGTACGCCGTCGCCTTTCCAAGGTCGCTGCGTACGCTTTCCAGCGTGCGGCTGGCATCCTCCGCCTTGAGATTCCAGCTACCTCTGTCCGCCGTCGCCTTTCCAAGGTCGCTGCGTACGCTTTCCAGCGTGCGGCTGGCATCCACCGCCTTGAGCTTCCAGTTCCCCCTGTCTGCTGTCGTCTTTCCAAGGTCGATGCACACGATTTTCAGCGCATCGCTGGCATCCTCTGCCTTGAGCTTCAAGCTGTCTCTGTCCGCCGTCGCCTTTCCAAGGTCGCTGCGTACGCTTTCCAGCGTGCGGCTGGCATCCACCGCCTTGAACTCCCAGCTCCCCCTGTCTGCTGTCGTCTTTCTAAGGTAGATGCACACGATTTTCAGCGCATCGGTGGCATCCTCTGCCTTGAGCTTCAAGCTGTCTCTGTACGCCGTCGCCTTTCCAAGGTCGCTGCGTACGCTTTCCAGCGTGCGGCTGGCATCCTCCGCCTTGAGATTCCAGCTATCTCTGTCCGCCGTCGCCTTTCCAAGGTCGCTGCGTACGCTTTCCAGCGTGCGGCTGGCATCCACCGCCTTGAACTCCCAGCTCCCCCTGTCTGCTGTCGTCTTTCTAAGGTAGATGCACACGATTTTCAGCGCATCGGTGGCATCCTCTGCCTTGAGCTTCAAGCTGTCTCTGTACGCCGTCGCCTTTCCAAGGTCGCTGCGTACGCTTTCCAGCGTGCGGCTGGCAGCCACCGCCTTGAGCTTCCAGTTCCCCCTGTCTGCTGTCGTCTTTCCAAGGTCGATGCACACGATTTTCAGCGCATCGCTGGCATCCTCTGCCTTGAGCTTCAAGCTGTCTCTGTCCGCCGTCGCCTTTCCAAGGTCGCTGCGTACGCTTTTCAGCGTGCGGCTGGCAGCCACCGCCTTGAGCTTCCAGTTCCCCCTGTCTGCTGTCGTCTTTCCAAGGTCGATGCACACGATTTTCAGCGCATCGCTGGCATCCTCTGCCTTGAGCTTCAAGCTGTCTCTGTCCGCCGTCGCCTTTCCAAGGTCGCTGCGTACGCTTTCCAGCGTGCGGCTGGCATCCACCGCCTTGAACTCCCAGCTCCCCCTGTCTGCTGTCGTCTTTCCAAGGTCGATGCACACGATTTTCAGCGCATCGCTGGCATCCTCTGCCTTGAGCTTCAAGCTATCTCTGTCCGCCGTCGCCTTTCCAAGGTCGCTGCGTACGCTTCCCAGCGTGCGGCTGGCATCCACCGCCTTGAACTCCCAGCTCCCCCTGTCTGCCGTCGTCTTTCTAAGGTCGATGCACACGATTTTCAGCGCATCGGTGGCATCCTCTGCCTTGAGCTTCAAGCTGTCTCTGTCCGCCGTCCTCTTTTCAAGGTCGTTGCGTACGTTTCCCAGCGTGCGGCTGGCATCCACCGCCTTGAGCTCCCAGCTCCCCCTGTCTGCCGTCGTCTTTCTAAGGTCGATGCACACGATTTTCAGCGCATCGGTGGCATCCTCTGCCTTGAGCTTCAAGCTGTCTCTGTCCGCCGTCATCTTTTCAAGGTCGTTGCGTACGCTTCCCAGCGTGCGGCTGGCATCCACCGCCTTGAGCTCCCAGCTCCCCCTGTCTGCCGTCGTCTTTCTAAGGTCGATGCACACGATTTTCAGCGCATCGGTGGCATCCTCTGCCTTGAGCTTCAAGCTGTCTCTGTCCGCCGTCCTCTTTTCAAGGTCGTTGCGTACGCTTCCCAGCGTGCGGCTGGCATCCACCGCCTTGAACTCCCAGCTCCCCCTGTCTGCCGTCGTCTTTCTAAGGTCGATGCACACAATTTTCAGCGCATCGGTGGCATCCTCTGCCTTGAGCTTCAAGCTGTCTCTGTCCGCCGTCCTCTTTTCAAGGTCGTTGCGTACGCTTCCCAGCCTGCGGCTGGCATCCACCGCCTTGAGCTCCCAGCTCCCCCTGTCTGCCGTCGTCTTTCTAAGGTCGATGCACACGATTTTCAGCGCATCGGTGGCATCCTCTGCCTTGAGCTTCAAGCTGTCTCTGTCCGCCGTCCTCTTTTCAAGGTCGTTGCGTACGCTTCCCAGCGTGCGGCTGGCATCCACCGCCTTGAGCTCCCAGCTCCCCCTGTCTGCCGTCGTCTTTCTAAGGTCGATGCACACGATTTTCAGCGCATCGGTGGCATCCTCTGCCTTGAGCTTCAAGCTGTCTCTGTCCGCCGTCATCTTTTCAAGGTCGTTGCGTACGCTTCCCAGCGTGCGGCTGGCATCCACCGCCTTGAGCTCCCAGCTCCCCCTGTCTGCCGTCGTCTTTCTAAGGTCGATGCACACGATTTTCAGCGCATCGGTGGCATCCTCTGCCTTGAGCTTCAAGCTGTCTCTGTCCGCCGTCCTCTTTTCAAGGTCGTTGCGTACGCTTCCCAGCGTGCGGCTGGCATCCACCGCCTTGAGCTCCCAGCTCCCCCTGTCTGCCGTCGTCTTTCTAAGGTCGATGCACACGATTTTCAGCGCATCGGTGGCATCCTCTGCCTTGAGCTTCAAGCTGTCTCTGTCCGCCGTCCTCTTTTCAAGGTCGTTGCGTACGCTTCCCAGCGTGCGGCTGGCATCCACCGCCTTGAGCTCCCAGCTCCCCCTGTCTGCCGTCGTCTTTCTAAGGTCGATGCACACAATTTTCAGCGCATCGGTGGCATCCTCTGCCTTGAGCTTCAAGCTGTCTCTGTCCGCCGTCATCTTTTCAAGGTCGTTGCGTACGCTTCCCAGCGTGCGGCTGGCATCCACCGCCTTGAACTCCCAGCTCCCCCTGTCTGCCGTCGTCTTTCTAAGGTCGATGCACACAATTTTCAGCGCATCGGTGGCATCCTCTGCCTTGAGCTTCAAGCTGTCTCTGTCCGCCGTCCTCTTTTCAAGGTCGTTGCGTACGCTTCCCAGCGTGCGGCTGGCATCCACCGCCTTGAACTCCCAGCTCCCCCTGTCTGCCGTCGTCTTTCTAAGGTCGATGCACACAATTTTCAGCGCATCGGTGGCATCCTCTGCCTTGAGCTTCAAGCTGTCTCTGTCCGCCGTCCTCTTTTCAAGGTCGTTGCGTACGCTTCCCAGCGTGCGGCTGGCATCCACCGCCTTGAGCTCCCAGCTCCCCCTGTCTGCCGTCGTCTTTCTAAGGTCGATGCACACGATTTTCAGCGCATCGGTGGCATCCTCTGCCTTGAGCTTCAAGCTGTCTCTGTCCGCCGTCATCTTTTCAAGGTCGTTGCGTACGCTTCCCAGCGTGCGGCTGGCATCCACCGCCTTGAGCTCCCAGCTCCCCCTGTCTGCCGTCGTCTTTCTAAGGTCGATGCACACAATTTTCAGCGCATCGGTGGCATCCTCTGCCTTGAGCTTCAAGCTGTCTCTGTCCGCCGTCATCTTTTCAAGGTCGTTGCGTACGCTTCCCAGCGTGCGGCTGGCATCCACCGCCTTGAACTCCCAGCTCCCCCTGTCTGCCGTCGTCTTTCTAAGGTCGATGCACACAATTTTCAGCGCATCGGTGGCATCCTCTGCCTTGAGCTTCAAGCTGTCTCTGTCCGCCGTCCTCTTTTCAAGGTCGTTGCGTACGCTTCCCAGCGTGCGGCTGGCATCCACCGCCTTGAGCTCCCAGCTCCCCCTGTCTGCCGTCGTCTTTCTAAGGTCGATGCACACGATTTTCAGCGCATCGGTGGCATCCTCTGCCTTGAGCTTCAAGCTGTCTCTGTCCGCCGTCATCTTTTCAAGGTCGTTGCGTACGCTTCCCAGCGTGCGGCTGGCATCCACCGCCTTGAGCTCCCAGCTCCCCCTGTCTGCCGTCGTCTTTCTAAGGTCGATGCACACGATTTTCAGCGCATCGGTGGCATCCTCTGCCTTGAGCTTCAAGCTGTCTCTGTCCGCCGTCATCTTTTCAAGGTCGTTGCGTACGCTTCCCAGCGTGCGGCTGGCATCCACCGCCTTGAACTCCCAGCTCCCCCTGTCTGCCGTCGTCTTTCTAAGGTCGATGCACACAATTTTCAGCGCATCGGTGGCATCCTCTGCCTTGAGCTTCAAGCTGTCTCTGTCCGCCGTCCTCTTTTCAAGGTCGTTGCGTACGCTTCCCAGCGTGCGGCTGGCATCCACCGCCTTGAGCTCCCAGCTCCCCCTGTCTGCCGTCGTCTTTCTAAGGTCGATGCACACGATTTTCAGCGCATCGGTGGCATCCTCTGCCTTGAGCTTCAAGCTGTCTCTGTCCGCCGTCATCTTTTCAAGGTCGTTGCGTACGCTTCCCAGCGTGCGGCTGGCATCCACCGCCTTGAGCTCCCAGCTCCCCCTGTCTGCCGTCGTCTTTCTAAGGTCGATGCACACGATTTTCAGCGCATCGGTGGCATCCTCTGCCTTGAGCTTCAAGCTGTCTCTGTCCGCCGTCCTCTTTTCAAGGTCGTTGCGTACGCTTCCCAGCGTGCGGCTGGCATCCACCGCCTTGAGCTCCCAGCTCCCCCTGTCTGCCGTCGTCTTTCTAAGGTCGATGCACACGATTTTCAGCGCATCGGTGGCATCCTCTGCCTTGAGCTTCAAGCTGTCTCTGTCCGCCGTCCTCTTTTCAAGGTCGTTGCGTACGCTTCCCAGCGTGCGGCTGGCATCCACCGCCTTGAGCTCCCAGTTCCCCCTGTCTGCCGTCGTCTTTCTAAGGTCGATGCACACAATTTTCAGCGCATCGGTGGCATCCTCTGCCTTGAGCTTCAAGCTGTCTCTGTCCGCCGTCCTCTTTTCAAGGTCGTTGCGTACGCTTCCCAGCGTGCGGCTGGCATCCACCGCCTTGAGCTCCCAGCTCCCCCTGTCTGCCGTCGTCTTTCTAAGGTCGATGCACACGATTTTCAGCGCATCGGTGGCATCCTCTGCCTTGAGCTTCAAGCTGTCTCTGTCCGCCGTCCTCTTTTCAAGGTCGTTGCGTACGCTTCCCAGCGTGCGGCTGGCATCCACCGCCCTGAACTCCCAGCTCCCCCTGTCTGCCGTCGTCTTTCTAAGGTCGATGCACACGATTTTCAGCGCATTGGTGGCATCCTCTGCCTTGAGCTTCAAGCTGTCTCTGTCCGCCGTCATCTTTTCAAGGTCGTTGCGTACGCTTCCCAGCGTGCGGCTGGCATCCACCGCCTTGAACTCCCAGCTCCCCCTGTCTGCCGTCGTCTTTCTAAGGTCGATGCATACAATTTTCAGCGCATTGGTGGCATCCTCTGCCTTGAGCTTCAAGCTGTCTCTGTCCGCCGTCATCTTTTCAAGGTCGTTGCGTACGCTTCCCAGCGTGCGGCTGGCATCCACCGCCTTGAACTCCCAGCTCCCCCTGTCTGCCGTCGTCTTTCTAAGGTCGATGCATACAATTTTCAGCGCATTGGTGGCATCCTCTGCCTTGAGCTTCAAGCTGTCTCTGTCCGCCGTCATCTTTTCAAGGTCGTTGCGTACGCTTCCCAGCGTGCGGCTGGCATCCACCGCCTTGAACTCCCAGCTCCCCCTGTCTGCCGTCGTCTTTCTAAGGTCGATGCATACAATTTTCAGCGCATTGGTGGCATCCTCTGCCTTGAGCTTCAAGCTGTCTCTGTCCGCCGTCATCTTTTCAAGGTCGTTGCGTACGCTTCCCAGCGTGCGGCTGGCATCCACCGCCCTGAACTCCCAGCTCCCCCTGTCTGCCGTCGTCTTTCTAAGGTCGATGCACACGATTTTCAGCGCATTGGTGGCATCCTCTGCCTTGAGCTTCAAGCTGTCTCTGTCCGCCGTCATCTTTTCAAGGTCGTTGCGTACGCTTCCCAGCGTGCGGCTGGCATCCACCGCCCTGAACTCCCAGCTCCCCCTGTCTGCCGTCGTCTTTCTAAGGTCGATGCACACGATTTTCAGCGCATTGGTGGCATCCTCTGCCTTGAGATTCAAGCTGTCTCTGTCCGCCGTCATCTTTTCAAGGTCGTTGCGTACGCTTCCCAGCGTGCGGCTGGCATCCCCCGCCTTGAACTCCCAGCTCCCCCTGTCTGCCGTCGTCTTTCTAAGGTCGATGCATACAATTTTCAGCGCATTGGTGGCATCCTCTGCCTTGAGCTTCAAGCTGTCTCTGTCCGCCGTCATCTTTTCAAGGTCGTTGCGTACGCTTCCCAGCGTGCGGCTGGCATCCACCGCCTTGAACTCCCAGCTCCCCCTGTCTGCCGTCGTCTTTCTAAGGTCGATGCATACAATTTTCAGCGCATTGGTGGCATCCTCTGCCTTGAGCTTCAAGCTGTCTCTGTCCGCCGTCATCTTTTCAAGGTCGTTGCGTACGCTTCCCAGCGTGCGGCTGGCATCCACCGCCTTGAACTCCCAGCTCCCCCTGTCTGCCGTCGTCTTTCTAAGGTCGATGCATACAATTTTCAGCGCATCGGTGGCATCCTCTGCCTTGAACTCCCAGCTCCCCCTGTCTGCCGTCGTCTTTCTAAGGTCGATGCACACGATTTTCAGCGCATTGGTGGCATCCTCTGCCTTGAGCTTCAAGCTGTCTCTGTCCGCCGTCATCTTTTCAAGGTCGTTGCGTACGCTTCCCAGCGTGCGGCTGGCATCCACCGCCCTGAACTCCCAGCTCCCCCTGTCTGCCGTCGTCTTTCTAAGGTCGTTGCACACGATTTTCAGCGCATTGGTGGCATCCTCTGCCTTGAGCTTCAAGCTGTCTCTGTCCGCCGTCCTCTTTTCAAGGTCGTTGCGTACGCTTCCCAGCGTGCGGCTGGCATCAACCGCCCTGAACTCCCAGCTCCCCCTGTCTGCCGTCGTCTTTCTAAGGTCGATGCACACGATTTTCAGCGCATCGCTGGCATCCTCTGCCTTGAGCTCCAAGCTGTCTCTGCCCGCAGTCCTCTTTTCAAGGTCGTTCCGTACGCTTCCCAGCGTGCGGCTGGCATCCACCGCCTTGAACTCCCAGCTCCCCCTGTCTGCCGTCGTCTTTCTAAGGTCGATGCACACGATTTTCAGCGCATCGCTGGCATCCTCTGCCTTGAGCTTCAAGCTGTCTCTGTCCGCCGTCATCTTTTCAAGGTCGTTGCGTACGCTTCCCAGCGTGCGGCTGGCATCCACCGCCCTGAACTCCCAGCTCCCCCTGTCTGCCGTCGTCTTTCTAAGGTCGATGCACACGATTTTCAGCGCATCGGTGGCATCCTCTGCCTTGAGCTTCAAGCTGTCTCTGTCCGCCGTCCTCTTTTCAAGGTCGTTGCGTACGCTTCCCAGCGTGCGGCTGGCATCAACCGCCCTGAACTCCCAGCTCCCCCTGTCTGCCGTCGTCTTTCTAAGGTCGATGCACACGATTTTCAGCGCATCGCTGGCATCCTCTGCCTTGAGCTCCAAGCTGTCTCTGCCCGCAGTCCTCTTTTCAAGGTCGTTGCGTACGCTTCCCAGCGTGCGGCTGGCATCCACCGCCTTGAACTCCCAGCTCCCCCTGTCTGCCGTCGTCTTTCTAAGGTCGATGCACACGATTTTCAGCGCATCGCTGGCATCCTCTGCCTTGAGCTCCAAGCTGTCTCTGCCCGCAGTCCTCTTTTCAAGGTCGTTGCGTACGCTTCCCAGCGTGCGGCTGGCATCCACCGCCTTGAACTCCCAGCTCCCCCTGTCTGCCGTCGTCTTTCTAAGGTCGATGCACACGATTTTCAGCGCATCGGTGGCATCCTCTGCCTTGAGCTTCAAGCTGTCTCTGTCCGCCGTCATCTTTTCAAGGTCGTTGCGTACGCTTCCCAGCGTGCGGCTGGCATCCACCGCCTTGAACTCCCAGCTCCCCCTGTCTGCCGTCGTCTTTCTAAGGTCGATGCACACGATTTTCAGCGCATCGGTGGCATCCTCTGCCTTGAGCTTCAAGCTGTCTCTGTCCGCCGTCATCTTTTCAAGGTCGTTGCGTACGCTTCCCAGCGTGCGGCTGGCATCCACCGCCCTGAACTCCCAGCTCCCCCTGTCTGCCGTCGTCTTTCTAAGGTCGATGCACACGATTTTCAGCGCATCGGTGGCATCCTCTGCCTTGAGCTTCAAGCTGTCTCTGTCCGCCGTCATCTTTTCAAGGTCGTTGCGTACGCTTCCCAGCGTGCGGCTGGCATCCACCGCCTTGAGCTCCCAGCTCCCCCTGTCTGCCGTCGTCTTTCTAAGGTCGATGCACACGATTTTCAGCGCATCGGTGGCATCCTCTGCCTTGAGCTTCAAGCTGTCTCTGTCCGCCGTCATCTCTTCAAGGTCGTTGCGTACGCTTCCCAGCGTGCGGCTGGCATCCACCGCCTTGAACTCCCAGCTCCCCCTGTCTGCCGTCGTCTTTCTAAGGTCGATGCACACGATTTTCAGCGCATCGGTGGCATCCTCTGCCTTGAGCTTCAAGCTGTCTCTGTCCGCCGTCATCTTTTCAAGGTCGTTGCGTACGCTTCCCAGCGTGCGGCTGGCATCCACCGCCTTGAGCTCCCAGCTCCCCCTGTCTGCCGTCGTCTTTCTAAGGTCGATGCACACAATTTTCAGCGCATCGGTGGCATCCTCTGCCTTGAGCTTCAAGCTGTCTCTGTCCGCCGTCCTCTTTTCAAGGTCGTTGCGTACGCTTCCCAGCGTGCGGCTGGCATCCACCGCCTTGAACTCCCAGCTCCCCCTGTCTGCCGTCGTCTTTCTAAGGTCGATGCACACGATTTTCAGCGCATCGGTGGCATCCTCTGCCTTGAGCTTCAAGCTGTCTCTGTCCGCCGTCCTCTTTTCAAGGTCGTTGCGTACGCTTCCCAGCGTGCGGCTGGCATCCACCGCCTTGAACTCCCAGCTCCCCCTGTCTGCCGTCGTCTTTCTAAGGTCGATGCATACAATTTTCAGCGCATCGGTGGCATCCTCTGCCTTGAACTCCCAGCTCCCCCTGTCTGCCGTCGTCTTTCTAAGGTCGATGCACACGATTTTCAGCGCATTGGTGGCATCCTCTGCCTTGAGCTTCAAGCTGTCTCTGTCCGCCGTCATCTTTTCAAGGTCGTTGCGTACGCTTCCCAGCGTGCGGCTGGCATCCACCGCCCTGAACTCCCAGCTCCCCCTGTCTGCCGTCGTCTTTCTAAGGTCGTTGCACACGATTTTCAGCGCATTGGTGGCATCCTCTGCCTTGAGCTTCAAGCTGTCTCTGTCCGCCGTCCTCTTTTCAAGGTCGTTGCGTACGCTTCCCAGCGTGCGGCTGGCATCAACCGCCCTGAACTCCCAGCTCCCCCTGTCTGCCGTCGTCTTTCTAAGGTCGATGCACACGATTTTCAGCGCATCGCTGGCATCCTCTGCCTTGAGCTCCAAGCTGTCTCTGCCCGCAGTCCTCTTTTCAAGGTCGTTCCGTACGCTTCCCAGCGTGCGGCTGGCATCCACCGCCTTGAACTCCCAGCTCCCCCTGTCTGCCGTCGTCTTTCTAAGGTCGATGCACACGATTTTCAGCGCATCGCTGGCATCCTCTGCCTTGAGCTTCAAGCTGTCTCTGTCCGCCGTCATCTTTTCAAGGTCGTTGCGTACGCTTCCCAGCGTGCGGCTGGCATCCACCGCCCTGAACTCCCAGCTCCCCCTGTCTGCCGTCGTCTTTCTAAGGTCGATGCACACGATTTTCAGCGCATCGGTGGCATCCTCTGCCTTGAGCTTCAAGCTGTCTCTGTCCGCCGTCCTCTTTTCAAGGTCGTTGCGTACGCTTCCCAGCGTGCGGCTGGCATCAACCGCCCTGAACTCCCAGCTCCCCCTGTCTGCCGTCGTCTTTCTAAGGTCGATGCACACGATTTTCAGCGCATCGCTGGCATCCTCTGCCTTGAGCTCCAAGCTGTCTCTGCCCGCAGTCCTCTTTTCAAGGTCGTTGCGTACGCTTCCCAGCGTGCGGCTGGCATCCACCGCCTTGAACTCCCAGCTCCCCCTGTCTGCCGTCGTCTTTCTAAGGTCGATGCACACGATTTTCAGCGCATCGCTGGCATCCTCTGCCTTGAGCTCCAAGCTGTCTCTGCCCGCAGTCCTCTTTTCAAGGTCGTTGCGTACGCTTCCCAGCGTGCGGCTGGCATCCACCGCCTTGAACTCCCAGCTCCCCCTGTCTGCCGTCGTCTTTCTAAGGTCGATGCACACGATTTTCAGCGCATCGGTGGCATCCTCTGCCTTGAGCTTCAAGCTGTCTCTGTCCGCCGTCATCTTTTCAAGGTCGTTGCGTACGCTTCCCAGCGTGCGGCTGGCATCCACCGCCTTGAACTCCCAGCTCCCCCTGTCTGCCGTCGTCTTTCTAAGGTCGATGCACACGATTTTCAGCGCATCGGTGGCATCCTCTGCCTTGAGCTTCAAGCTGTCTCTGTCCGCCGTCATCTTTTCAAGGTCGTTGCGTACGCTTCCCAGCGTGCGGCTGGCATCCACCGCCCTGAACTCCCAGCTCCCCCTGTCTGCCGTCGTCTTTCTAAGGTCGATGCACACGATTTTCAGCGCATCGGTGGCATCCTCTGCCTTGAGCTTCAAGCTGTCTCTGTCCGCCGTCATCTTTTCAAGGTCGTTGCGTACGCTTCCCAGCGTGCGGCTGGCATCCACCGCCTTGAGCTCCCAGCTCCCCCTGTCTGCCGTCGTCTTTCTAAGGTCGATGCACACGATTTTCAGCGCATCGGTGGCATCCTCTGCCTTGAGCTTCAAGCTGTCTCTGTCCGCCGTCATCTCTTCAAGGTCGTTGCGTACGCTTCCCAGCGTGCGGCTGGCATCCACCACCTTGAACTCCCAGCTCCCCCTGTCTGCCGTCGTCTTTCTAAGGTCGATGCACACGATTTTCAGCGCATCGGTGGCATCCTCTGCCTTGAGCTTCAAGCTGTCTCTGTCCGCCGTCATCTTTTCAAGGTCGTTGCGTACGCTTCCCAGCGTGCGGCTGGCATCCACCGCCTTGAGCTCCCAGCTCCCCCTGTCTGCCGTCGTCTTTCTAAGGTCGATGCACACAATTTTCAGCGCATCGGTGGCATCCTCTGCCTTGAGCTTCAAGCTGTCTCTGTCCGCCGTCCTCTTTTCAAGGTCGTTGCGTACGCTTCCCAGCGTGCGGCTGGCATCCACCGCCTTGAACTCCCAGCTCCCCCTGTCTGCCGTCGTCTTTCTAAGGTCGATGCACACGATTTTCAGCGCATCGGTGGCATCCTCTGCCTTGAGCTTCAAGCTGTCTCTGTCCGCCGTCCTCTTTTCAAGGTCGTTGCGTACGCTTCCCAGCGTGCGGCTGGCATCCACCGCCTTGAACTCCCAGCTCCCCCTGTCTGCCGTCGTCTTTCTAAGGTCGATGCACACGATTTTCAGCGCATCGGTGGCATCCTCTGCCTTGAGCTTCAAGCTGTCTCTGTCCGCCGTCCTCTTTTCAAGGTCGTTGCGTACGCTTCCCAGCGTGCGGCTGGCATCCACCGCCTTGAACTCCCAGCTCCCCCTGTCTGCCGTCGTCTTTCTAAGGTCGATGCACACGATTTTCAGCGCATCGGTGGCATCCTCTGCCTTGAGCTTCAAGCTGTCTCTGTCCGCCGTCCTCTTTTCAAGGTCGTTGCGTACGCTTCCCACCGTGCGGCTGGCATCCACCGCCTTGAACTCCCAGCTCCCCCTGTCTGCCGTCGTCTTTCTAAGGTCGATGCACACGATTTTCAGCGCATCGGTGGCATCCTCTGCCTTGAGCTTCAAGCTGTCTCTGTCCGCCGTCATCTTTTCAAGGTCGTTGCGTACGCTTCCCAGCGTGCGGCTGGCATCCACCGCCTTGAACTCCCAGCTCCCCCTGTCTGAAGTCGTCTTTCTAAGGTCGATGCACACAATTTTCAGCGCATCGGTGGCATCCTCTGCCTTGAGCTTCAAGCTGTCTCTGTCCGCCGTCCTCTTTTCAAGGTCGTTGCGTACGCTTCCCAGCGTGATGCTGGCATCCACCGCCTTGAACTCCCAGCTCCCCCTGTCTGCCGTCGTCTTTCTAAGGTCGATGCACACGATTTTCAGCGCATCGGTGGCATCCTCTGCCTTGAGCTTCAAGCTGTCTCTGTCCGCCGTCAACTTTTCAAGGTCGTTGCGTACGCTTCCCAGCGTGCGGCTGGCATCAACCGCCTTGAACTCCCAGCTCCCCCTGTCTGCCGTCGTCTTTCTAAGGTCGATGCACACGATTTTCAGCGCATCGCTGGCATCCTCTGCCTTGAGCTCCAAGCTGTCTCTGTCCGCAGTCCTCTTTTCAAGGTCGTTGCGTACGCTTCCCAGCGTGCGGCTGGCATCCACCGCCTTGAACTCCCAGCTCCCCCTGTCTGCCGTCGTCTTTCTAAGGTCGATGCACACGATTTTCAGCGCATCGGTGGCATCCTCTGCCTTGAGCTTCAAGCTGTCTCTGTCCGCCGTCATCTTTTCAAGGTCGTTGCGTACGCTTCCCAGCGTGCGGCTAGCATCCACCGCCTTGAACTCCCAGCTCCCCCTGTCTGCCGTCGTCTTTCTAAGGTCGATGCACACGATTTTCAGCGCATCGCTGGCATCCTCTGCCTTGAGCTCCAAGCTGTCTCTGTCCGCAGTCCTCTTTTCAAGGTCGTTGCGTACGCTTCCCAGCGTGCGGCTGGCATCCACCGCCTTGAGCTCCCAGCTCCCCCTGTCTGCCGTCGTCTTTCTAAGGTCGATGCACACAATTTTCAGCGCATCGGTGGCATCCTCTGCCTTGAGCTTCAAGCTGTCTCTGTCCGCCGTCATCTTTTCAAGGTCGTTGCGTACGCTTCCCAGCGTGCGGCTGGCATCCACCGCCTTGAACTCCCAGCTCCCCCTGTCTGCCGTCGTCTTTCTAAGGTCGATGCACACGATTTTCAGCGCATCGGTGGCATCCTCTGCCTTGAGCTTCAAGCTGTCTCTGTCCGCCGTCCTCTTTTCAATGTCGTTGCGTACGCTTCCCAGCGTGCGGCTGGCATCCACCGCCTTGAACTCCCAGCTCCGCCTGTCTGCCGTCGTCTTTCTAAGGTCGATGCACACGATTTTTAGCGCATCGGTGGCATCCTCTGCCTTGAGCTTCAAGCTGTCTCTGTCCGCCGTCATCTTTTCAAGGTCGTTGCGTACGCTTCCCAGCGTGCGGGTGGCATCCACCGCCTTGAATTCCCAGCTCCCCCTGTCTGCCGTCGTCTTTCTAAGGTCGATGCACACGATTTTCAGCGCATCGCTGGCATCCTCTGCCTTGAGCTTCAAGCTGTCTCTGTCCGCCGTCATCTTTTCAAGGTCGTTGCGTACGCTTCCCAGCGTGCGGCTGGCATCCACCGCCTTGAACTCCCAGCTCCCCCTGTCTGCCGTCGTCTTTCTAAGGTCGATGCACACAATTTTCAGCGCATCGGTGGCATCCTCTGCCTTGAGCTTCAAGCTGTCTCTGTCCGCCGTCATCTTTTCAAGGTCGTTGCGTACGCTTCCCAGCGTGCGGCTGGCATCCACCGCCTTGAGCTCCCAGCTCCCCCTGTCTGCCGTCGTCTTTCTAAGGTCGATGCACACAATTTTCAGCGCATCGGTGGCATCCTCTGCCTTGAGCTTCAAGCTGTCTCTGTCCGCCGTCATCTTTTCAAGGTCGTTGCGTACGCTTCCCAGCGTGCGGCTGGCATCCACCGCCTTGAACTCCCAGCTCCCCCTGTCTGCCGTCGTCTTTCTAAGGTCGATGCACACAATTTTCAGCGCATCGGTGGCGTCCTCTGCCTTGAGCTTCAAGCTGTCTCTGTCCGCCGTCATCTTTTCAAGGTCGTTGCGTACGCTTCCCAGCGTGCGGCTGGCATCCACCGCCTTGAACTCCCAGCTCCCCCTGTCTGCCGTCGTCTTTCTAAGGTCGATGCACACAATTTTCAGCGCATCGGTGGCATCCTCTGCCTTGAGCTTCAAGCTGTCTCTGTCCGCCGTCATCTTTTCAAGGTCGTTGCGTACGCTTCCCAGCGTGCGGCTGGCATCCACCGCCTTGAGCTCCC